GTCAACAACAAACTAGGGAGAAATACTCAAAATAACAAAACTATTGATTACATAACGGACAAAAATAATAGAATCACCAATCCAGAAGAAATTGCAAACAAAATGAACACATTTTTTTGTGAAATCGGAACGGAACTTAGCAATAATATAATACAACCGCAAAATGCAACGCTCAACCTCCCAAAAATAAACCCGAAAACAATATTTTTAAATTTTACAAATGAACAAGAAGTAAAGAAAATAATTGGCAGACTAAAAAACAAAAAAGGAGGAGTTGATGGAATTAATTCATCATTATTAAAATCATTAATCCACTACGTATCTGAACCACTTGCACTTGCTATAAATAAGTGCATTATTAATGAAACTTGGCCTGATGCTTTAAAAGAAGCGAATATTATACCAATCCACAAATCAAAAGAAAAACATTTAGCAAATAACTACAGACCTATTTCTCTAATCTCCAACATAGCTAAAATCTTTGAAAAAATAATACATAGAAGAATTCAATCTTTCATTGATAACTGTAATTTGCTTTCCACAAATCAATTTGGCTTTCGAAAAAACAGAAGCACAAAACATGCACTAAATTATATTTCAAGCAACATTTATGAACAATTAGATGCAAGTAAACCTATAGCAATAACTTTTCTGGATCTTGCCAAAGCCTTCGACACAGTTGACCACAAGATACTGTTACAAAAATTATACAACTATGGTATTAGGGGTAGTGCCTATAACCTTATCAAAAGCTATCTAACAAATAGAAAACAATGTGTGAAGGTAAATAATGCAAGTAGCGATAAACAAATAGTAAAAATAGGTGTTCCACAAGGAACTATACTGGGTCCGCTACTTTTCCTACTATACATAAATGATCTACTAACGATACTACCAGAAAAATCCATACTATCTTTTGCAGACGATACAGCAATCATAGCAAAAGGTAAGAATTGGAAAGAAGCTGAAACTAATATGAACAGTTATCTAAAAATAGTGGGAATTTGGCTTGCTCTTAATAAACTATCTTTGAATATAGACAAGACAACGTACATGGAATTTGGAAATTATCATGACAGTACGCCAAAAAACCTGAAAATTGAAATCTTAGGACATCCAATACACCGAGTTGAAAACACAAAATATCTTGGAGTTACTTTTGACAGTAATATGAAATGGGATTTACATCTACAAATCCTATACCAAAAAACAAAATATCTAACATTTGTCCTATATAAGCTATCAAAAATAATGAATACCAGTACATTAAAAATGATCTACTACGCACTCTTTCACAGCATAATGACCTATGGAATTATAGCTTGGGGAGGAGCGTACACAGGTCGAATTAAAGTAATACAAAACTTGCAAAACAGACTACTAAAAATAATCTATAAAAACCAATTTGTGACACATGAATACCCACTTAACTTAGATCAATGCTTTTCATTGGAATCTCTATTATTCCACTACGTTACTTTTAAGGACAAATATATTGGAAAAGAAAGAAAAACAAGATTCGCCTCAATCCAACACCCAAAAAGAACACTAACTATCAGCATAAAAAACAGTTATGTAAGAGCAATTATGTTATACAATAAACTACCAAATGACTTGAAAACAATTAACAACACGACAACTAGGAAAAACAAACTTAAAAAATGGATCAAAGGAAACCCAATATGGCAAATAGATTAAACTGCAAAAATATAAAAATATAAAACAATTAATTGATCTCTATGGTACTCTGTATCCGATATCGGAAGTCCACGAGGATGCAGTAGACCACAACAAATTAATACTAGATATTAGAACATATATTTGTGCAAATAACAATTGCAATTTATCTCCAGCAAGATTAACAAACTTAGAACGTGTTATCTACAAAAGAACCATGAATGCAACAACAGGATATTTCACTACAGCCAGACAGATGCTAAATAGAACATGGGATTAAAATAACAAATCACGAATATCTTTAAACAAATTATTAATTAGTTTTAAGTATTAGTATTAGTTTATTAAACATGCCAGACCAGCGCACAGGAAGAAATTCCTCTGCTGGATTACATGTAATGTAATGTAATTGTATATTATTAATCATTATTAATGTATATTTACTCTGGACTTAAATAAATAAATAAATATAAAATCGGTTAATTAATATTAATAAATTATAACAATGTTGTCATTATGTACAAAATTAACCCTTTCGATTAATATACAATTATTTGTTTAAATAAATTATTAATTGTTTATTTATTGATAGCAGTAATAACTAACCTGTTCTCAATGAAACGAATTCTTACTCATGTTTCTCAGATTGTCATCTTGAATTCAGAGTACTCGCTTTATTATAATAATTAACATTTATAACGTTATAACCAAATTAAATTTGCACATTAAAATTTAATACGATTTAGTAGTTAAAGGTAATTAAAAATATTATAATCTTAATCTATGCCCTAAAATCTATATAAAAAAATGCATTTTAATTCAACAATAAAAATTATAATTTCTATATCTATAGGCAGATGATGTCATGCTCCTTATATGGTCATGAAATTTGACCCTAGCACTAATACAATTATATAATATGAGAGGTGGTGCCGTTTAATATACAAATTGATAAATGTAGATTCATGAGTTTAGCGGGTTACAGTAATCCAATGAAAAAAAGAGAAGAGCTCATAGATAGCACCGTTACAATATTTGTACTGAATTTAAATAATTTTAAATACGTTTATGACTTTAAAAATTATTTTATGACTAATAAAGTTATAAAAAACAGCTTCTATAAGTTTCAACAAGACAGACCAATGAAAGGCGAGATAAAAAATTTTAAGATGGGATAAAAGTTCTTTTGTAGTAACTACGAGTACGTCCTAGCGTCGAGTGTCCGAATGCTGAACTCGCTCGTTACAGCAAAGCAGAGCATCTTCTTTTAATTGGTGCCACGTATTTCCTTATGTCGGGCATTTGAATTTTATAACAGTTTTTTATAGAAAAAATACTTAGAAATGCGTAGAAACAAGAGTTATTAAAAATACTACATTTCGACATATTCAAATTAGTATAAGAAAAAAGCGAATAACTTTTTGTGATGTATTATCATTCATCATTGCAAATATTTTCAAAGTTTAAAGCTTTATTTTTTTTAGATAAAATTGATCACAATATCTTTATTTTTAGAAATAAAAATAATATATATTTTACAAATGCTTACTAATTGTGAGAATGTAGCGTTCATTTAAAAAATTTTGAAGTCATGTACGACTACAAAACATGAAATTTAATTCATGAAAGAAGTATTTCAATTGCTTTCTTCTACACTTTTTGTAGTGGTACAAAGCACTGGCCTCAAGTATGTATAGTGCCCTCGACCTTACATTAGGCATGTATCTATTATATTTTTATTAAATTTATGAAATTTCAACTAGTAACTGCTTTTAGAATTTAAGGAAGTATTTATATGCCATATAAATACTTCATATAAATAGATTATGAATACTATTTGAATATCAAATACTTCTACACTACTCTATTTATTGAGCCGACCCTGTGGTAGGGAACCTCCTTAAGGCCTTCATAAGAGAGCAAGTGTTTTATTCAATGTTATATCAGATCGTACAAAAAATTAGTTAATTATTAATATTATATCATTAGTTCACTTATATGTTATTTAAAGAAATACTTAGAGACTAATAGAGTATGAAATTATTTATTCTTTAAAGGCGTTTGCCATGTGCAGCATTGGATATGTACCGTACGAGCAACGACCGTCTGAGTGGCCGAGCAACTAGCGCGCGATTAGCTTTAATTCGATAATGTGTAACTTTAATAACGAGTACTTGATTTTTCAACAGTTTATAATTTAATATTTCTATCATATTTTCAACTGAAACTGTACGCACACGTAGACCTCTATATAGGTAATAAATATATTAATTTTGAACAAAATCGATAAATTCGATGTTATGGAATGTATGAAATAGTTAAGAATAACAAACCATCTATTTGCTCTTAAGCTGAGTAGCGGTGGTTGATAGGAATTGCCATAAGAGAAACAATTTATCCAGCATTAGTAGTAACAATATCTTTAATGAAAATTGGTATCCGATTAATAATTTTTGGTAAATTTATTAATAAATTAAATAATAAATCGAAACAAATAAAAAATTACAAAATTCACGTAACTCGTAAGAGTGGTTTTTGGGTAGCTTTAGGGTGTTGAAGTTACTTAAAGGATGTAAAAATGTTAAATACATGATATTTAATGACTCTTATCTATATGACATTAATATCAACTAAACATTTTTTGCTTTATTAATAGTAATTGGAAACCGACCGTAATAGCCTCCGTGCTTATATTTATTCTAAACGTTCGAAACTTTAGATTCATTTTTTTTCATTATCATTTAGATTCATTATCATGACATAAATTTTTCATTAATTGAATTTATTACTGAAATATAAATTTCAACGACTCGTTACATTTTTAAAATAAGAAACTGTCATTTTCAGTACGCTGCACAATGTGGAAAATGTGCGTTCCACGTGCATTCAGCGGATGCTGAACGATAAACATGAGTTTGAATTCGAACTTTCTTCACGTTATTTTGAAAAATACCGTACTCAACATGTTCGGGAAAGTTCTATCATGTGCTTTTTTACCCTCGCTTCGTTCGAGTGTAATAAATATTTTACAAGGCAAGAATCTATTTTCCGCACTAGTTAGGTAATATACTATTATTACATAATACGATATACTAATTATTAGCAAGTTCAAATTCATGAATCAAATTTTGTTTAAATAAATTGTAACGATAATTTATTCAAACAGTTTTTCTTGACCAAAAGTAAAATATAATGCTAATAATGGCACTAACAATCTTTGTTGGATTAATTGTTATATAATATAAATATCTAATAAAGAATATATGTATTAAGCTGGTGCAACATGCATTGACACTGATAGTTTTGATGTAAACCAGAAGTACCTGGAAATGTAGAATGATTGTCCATATAAGGCCGAGTGTTAACTTTGGATTGCCATCGACGATATCCTCCGCTTGGATGTTGACAAGCTTGATATTTTTGCATTGCAAAAATCGTAGAGCTATCCGGACATTATCCAACATATGAAAGCGCATACTCCCAGAAGTTTCTCTCGGCTACGAAAAAAAGTCAAATTTGTATTAAGTTTGATAATTTAATTGCTTTCTTCCGTGCGTAAGTAATAATAATCTAACAATTTTGCATTTTGATTTTCACTATTCTAAAATTACGTAATCAGATTTGCGTACTCATATATTCAACACATATTTATGCACGTTTGCAAAATGTTCTAAATCATTAAATTATATTTGTTAGTAATTTTGAGAAAGGAGCATTAAGGGTTTTATGTATTACGATATCAACAAGGTGTTAATTGAGAATGAAAAACTATTTTGTTTTTTGTAATTCATTATAAATAATCGTTTCACACTAGTTGTTCTGTACAAATATTGATAACACATCTATTGAGCTAAGTAGAAAATAGTTTTTTTGTAATGAAAAAAGTTTGATATACGTATTTATTGATTTATAAAAAATTTTAGTGACTATTCTGCATGTATCTAATATCAAAAGTAATTTTTAGACCAATTTAAGTAATTTGGACCACATTTTCTAACGGGTGCGCAAAGACTTTTTGAAGAAAATAAGATGTTTACAGTACGAGCCGAAGGCGAAATTAGTAGATTGCGTACCTTGACCGGAAAATATTGGTAAGTCCGTAGCATATAAGAATTGACAACCGAGGCAAACTCGCCTCCTACTCGCGCCGTAAATTTTTCGTACCTCGTGCGTATAGTGCGACTTTCCTGCAGGTTTAGCCAGAAAGGTACGTTCAAAATCGAACGTTGCATACGTTGTATAAAAAAATACCGTATGATACACACATGTTTGGGAAAGTAGAGTCTTGCATTGTGTGGTGGTGATTTGTAACGTGATGTGCAACATGATCGAGTTCCATTATACTAGATAGATTTGTTAGGAATGTTGAGATAAAGATGTAAACATCTGACAATATTATATATTTATCAAGTAAATATCTTAATTTTTTTTTAAACTGTTTAAGAATTGTTAAATTTCATCTTAAAAGTACTTCATCGAATGTGTTCTTTGGCATTTTTTAGACACTAGAGCTCTGCTCTAATCTACAGGGTCGATGATTTTTTATTTTTAGTCTAGGCTCCTCTCTTTATGTGCAGAGCATTCTCAACGTAGAAAGTTGCTCAGTCTAGGGGAGGGGGCTCCTGGACTATAATAACTCATTACAGCTCAAGTGCCTGGCTCGCTCAACGTAATAGCATCTATTACGTCGGAAGAGTAGTATAAAAAACTTCAATGTAGAGGGTTTTGAACGGAAGTTTTCGAAAAGTATAGTGCCTGCGCTTAGAAAGTGATAAAAATAGGGTAAACGTCAAAGGGATTAGTAATGTTACAGTGAAAACTTCAATTATTAGTGAAAATTGTTTACAATGAATTTAACGAGAATGTTTATGGCAATCAAAGAAAATGTTGATCCAACAAGTGACTCTGACAGTTATGAAGAAAATGAGAGTCATAATAATCAAAATAGATTGAACAAGCTACTCGAAAAAGCGAAGTGTCATTTCCGAAAAATAAAAAGCGTTGTATGAAGTACAGTATTTAAAGTTTAAAGAGTGATGTACATAAATGAAAGTAGACCAAATAAACGAAGACATTTTACTAACATACTTTCAAATGTTATCTGAAAAGTATGCAGCTATAAGTTTATGGTCTACTTATTTAAAACAGAAATCTATGCTGAATTTCAAAGACAACATTACTATAAAAAAATTTTGATGGATAAAAAATGATTTTGTCAGAAGGGAAACTGTTTCATTGGCTTGAATCTTTCTTTCATATTTTAATTTATTAAATTAGTTAGTTAATCAATATAAATATGCAACATATGAACTTATAAATTATAAACCAAGAAATGAATATCCGTGATGATGCCACTCCCATCAAAGAGGAATATTTTAGAAAATAAAGATTTGAACGTGGATGCCGCTAAGACTTTACTGAACATCATTATAAGACAAAACATTACACTAAATGATTATCAGGAAATAAAAAGTATTTAGCAAGAAAATATTGAAGAAGTGTTGATTAGCCAATTTTCTGAAGCTTCATCATAAATGAATAAAATAGAAAACATAACTCAGGAAGAATTAAACTTTGAAGTCTTAAACACCTAGTTTGTATTAGATAATGCAACAAAAAGGAAAGCACTGAACTCAAACGAAAGTATAACAAAAAAAAACGAAAAGAATTTTCATTTTCAAAAATTGTAACATAATCTTTAACAATTAAACAGATAAAATTATTAAGTTATATTTTTATATTCGATTCGTTTAATTTATTCTAAACATTTTAATTTTATCAAATTATTATAAGTTATTTTATAATTTTATCAAAAAGTTATTTTTTTTCATTTATATTTAAAAAATGTAAAAGTTATGAATAAATGTTTGAAATGTAATCAAAATTAATTAATCCATTACGCGTAAACCAAATCACAGCAACCACGCTTACTCCAAGCGTACGTGAGAATGACTCCGACGTTACACCAAAAATACACAAAAGAAAAAATAAAAGTGTTTCGATTGTATACTGCATGAGAAAGAGAAACAATAAATTATTTTATGTTTTCCGTGAAATATTTTGTGTTATTTTAAATGTAAAAAAAACATGAGTATAAAATGTGATCTCTTTAATAATAAAACGAAATAATAATATGAATAAATAAATAAATAAAGGAAATATAAATAATGAAATGAAATCTCTTTCTGTGACAGACAGTCTGTGGAAAAAACTCGCGATAGTGATCGAAAAACAGTAGTGTAAGCCAGCAAGAAAAAAAGTGTAATGAATTGGATTAAATCTTTGAAAAACAAAAATAGCCACTATTCCAGAGGAAAAAGCATTAATAGGATTTAATTATCAAATGGCTTGAACGAGAGAAAATTATTTAATCTATATAATAAAAAAGTATCTCTTGATATGCAAGTAAGAGAAACATATTTTAGAAACATTTTATCGTATCATTTCACTATTGGTTTTGAATCACCTCGCACGAATGTTTATTCAACATATTTGTCACTGAAGGAGGAAATTAAACAGATTCCTTTTAGGAACCGTAAAAATAGCTTAATCTAAGAATTTTCAGTTCATGAAAAAGAAGTAAATTGTTTTTACGATGAGCTCAAAGAATCTAAATCAAATATAGTTATTTTCAAATATAGTTACAACTAAAAAAACTTGCCGCTGCCAAAAATACCAAACGAAATAACATTATAAAAAACAACTGCACAATAATTGTACAACAATTGCATGGAAAATTTAAAAATTTCTTCGAACGATTCTGAAAAAATTTTGAAGTATTCCTTAACTGATTTTAAAATATTTTTTTTAATTTTAGGGAATTTTAACAAAATTTGATAGTTTTACAGAAAAAAAATGTTCTTTCCGGTTTGTATTTATATAATTTTGTACTTATACAATTTTGCGGTTATAGAAAAATTAATGTTCGAATGAAATAGCATCGACGTTGCATCATACATTAAAGAACAAAGATTAGTAAAATAGTAAAATAAATAATGTATTAAGTATCTGATGAATGTACTGGTTCATATAAAAATATAGTTTTATACGCATTTTCAAGATTGCTCGCCATTGATGCTTCAAAAAATGTAAGAAAAATAGAAATGATTAGTCCAATAATGGGTCACTTCTTTTTATCAACCGATAGAGTGTGGTAGAATTGAAACGCAACTAAACAAGTTTAATGCTTTCATCACACCTCAATTTTTTTCTCGAAAACTACATTCTTTGATAAAATTTTCCTAAAAATAAAAATACCTTAAAATCAAATCAAGAATATTCTCAAAAATTTTCAGATCTTTCCGATATAATTTAAAAATTTGCAATCTTTTGACTATTTAAAAATTCAAAAATTTATTTGGACGATTCTGAAAAAATTTTGAACTACGAGGGTGGTCCGATAAGTACTTAGCCTACAAAAGAAAAACGAAAATTTTGGAAAAGTGGCGTTTTATTTTTCAACATAGTCTCCTTTTAGTTCGATACACTTGGCCCAGCGATACTCCAACTTCTTCAACCCGTCTAAACAATACGTTTCCTCGAGGTCTGAAAAGTAGGCTTCCGTGGCAGCGATTATCTCCTCATTCGACTCAAATTTCTGCCCGTCAAGTGACTTTTTCAAATTTGGAAACAAAAAGAAGTCGCACGGGGCTAAATCTGGAGAATACGGTGGATGGGGCAGCAGTTCGTAGCCTAATTCGACCAATTTGGCTATGGCGACGGCGGAGGTGTGAGCCGGTGCGTTGTCATGGTGGAAGAGCACTTTTTTCTTCGCCAAATGGGGCCGTTTTTTCTGCAATTCGACGTCGAATCGGCCCAATAATTCGGCATAGTACAGCCCTGTGATCGTTTTGCCCCTCTTCAGGTAGTCGATGTAGATCACACCTTGTTAATCCCAGAAAACGATGGCCATCACCTTTCCGGCCGATGGGGCAGTCTTCGCCTTCTTCGGAGCACTTTCGCCTGGTAAAGTCCACTGTTTCGACTGTTCCTTGGTCTCTGGTGTATACCAGTGGATCCATGTTTCGTCGACTGTCACGAAACGACGCAGAAACTCCTTCGGATTGCTCTTAAACAGCGTCAGACATTGCTCTGAAGTTGTCTCACGGTTGCGCTTGTTGTCCGGAGTGAGCAAACAAGGCACCCATCGCGCCGACAGCTTTCTCATGCCCAAAATTTCATGCAGGACATGACCCACGCGGTCTTTTGAGATGCCTACGATCTTAGCTATCTCGCGCACCTTCAATCGTCGATCTGCCAATACGAGATCGTGAATTTTTGTCACGTTATCCTCCGTGGTAGCCGTTTTCCGAGCACCTGGACGTGGCTCTTCAAAAATCGACGTGCGACCACGTTGAAACTCGTTAAACCAATTTTTGACGGTCGCCATCGAAGGAGAAGAGTCACCGTACACAGCATCCAAGCGCTTTTTGATTCGCTGCGCGATTTCCCTTCGAAAAACAAGAATCGAATCACCGACCGATACTGCTCTTTTTCC